CAGCAAGCTCTTTTTGTGTGAATGGATATTATAGTTCCTTATCCCACAATGAACAGCAGGAAGGTGTTGTTAATGTCAGCTTATACTGTTTTGTCAGAATAAAATTATGATTGATTGTCAAAACCCTTTCGAATTTTTGTAGTGCCTATTTGCAACAAGGTTTTTTGTTCCCTAAATCTTTATTCCTACCCCTCCCCACTTCTTCCCCACGCAGATTCTTAAAACCCCTACAACTTTTTTCATCTCCTTGCCTCCTTGAAAAATTATTGACAGCCCTGCAGGGGGGTAATACGCCACAAACCCAGCACAAATGCCAGCTAGAATGAGTTAACAACTGTGCAAAAATAACAAGTAAAAATATTAAATCAAGACATATCTATTAAATTACCATTATCCAAAATTTAAACGCATGCTACATACATATCGCTCAGGAGGCTTTGTAACAATCTTCGGCCCAGTTACATATAACACTGTCTTTCATATAACATCGGCAATATGCCACGTCTGCTTATCAGGTCCGTCGGCTGTTTCGTTCGATCGTTGAATTGCACGGTAACAGAACTTTAGAAGATCCGATACACTTGTTCTGTACTAAATGAAACTATGGTGTCGACTTCCACACCGACAAAATTGGGAGGAAGGCAAAAGATAGCTGAATACCGTGGTATCACTGCTCGGCTGAAACATTCCGCCATTTTCGATCGAGTCGGTTAATCACGCGGCGAGCATGCGCACTGACTTCTTGTATGGGTGTCATATCGTTACCGTTCCCAGTCCACTTAGAGTCCAATTCTATAATTAATCATATGATTACAAACCGAATTGGACGACATGAATTACTGTCACCATTACTAAATCGGTAAAATTTCCGCACAGCCCCATACTACATTATGCATTCAGTTCTTGGATAGAGAAAACAATGACAAAAACAATAGATTGCCATTGGGAAAACAGATTTGTTTTACAATAGTATGGGGCTGTGCGGAAATTTTACCCTCTGTCCTTCTCTCAAGTTGCTCTCTACTTCGCTTTTTACTTCTACTTGGTCATAGCTTTGATCTCAGTCCATAAATTGCGTTGTAGAATCTAAAGAAATTCAGTCAATGGAATCTGCAATAGTTCCCTCGAGTTCAGAGAAATTTCCTCATTCAACGTCAGTTTTACGGCAGAAGAAAGAAAGGATTTTCAGGCGCCATTAAAGGGAACAAACATTTTAACGATGACAACTTTTTAAATTTTTTAACACTCATTTGAACCTAATTAGAGTGAATTTCCTTGCCATTTGAAAGTGAACAGAGAAGAGAAACCTGCGTTAATTATAAATTAAAGTGTCTGACAATCAAAAGATTTTCGATTACTCCCATTCATCTCCGAAAACAGACCTTTCCGTGAGCTGTGATTGAAAAAATGATAAATGCCAAACGATCGAAAATAGTTAATTTTTGTGTCTTACCTCATCTTGAGAGATGCGAGTTATTCCAAAGTCGTTTTAGTCGATCGTTCTTTGTGGAAAATATCACACCATGGGGAACTCAGCTGGCTATAATTTGCAGTCACTGTTTATAATTTTCATTTTTCTGTTCCTTTCCAAGAAGTTTTTCTTGGCAGAAGTGTGTGCGTACAATTAACTACTTTTTTTCCTTTGCTCTCCAGCCGTCTTTTAAGAAATTCACGGAAAACGATGTGAAATAAGGGAGCACACTGTTCTCTCTCCTTATTATGTGCAATGTCGTAACATGTTCAGAAAAGTACCCAAGCTGAGATAAGATCTGCACACACAAGAATTCGCGGAGACGAGTTTCACTTTATTCTTGAACAGTTCACAGACGATACACTCAATCTTGGTCAAGTTTGAAAAGGAAATGTCGTTTCCACAAGAGTCGGTTCTAGGGTAAAAAAGAAACAACAAAGTTGCAAATACACCAGAAAACAAAAGCCGAAAGTACAAAACCTACAGGCAAGACATACAAACCTTATCGGCGTTTTTCATAGACAAGAAACGGCAAAACTTGAACTTGGATGCAAACTGAACTAAAAAACGTGCAAGGTACAAAACGTGCGTAATGAAGGGTGTTGAAGCTTGTAAGAGTCCCTTGTGACCTAACGCATGGTAGATCGTGTATAAAACGAAAACAAAGAAAAAAAGAACCACCAATTAAAAAAAGATGCTAATGCACATACCGCAGTAACCACAAAGCTGAGATAAGATCGTGTGTATCGACCACTTTGCTCAAACTGTTGTTATTCAAATTGAGACCAAGAAATGTGCGTGCAATGTATGCACAGGCATCCTTCACGAATCATATCACTGTTTAGAGATTTTTCTGGTCGCATCAAAATTACAGAAGTCGTTTAGACTTGATCTTATTCTCAGTTGTTAACTGCTATAAATGGACGAGATGGGGTTACTTTGATTCTATCGTGTGCATATCAACAATCCCCTATAGATTTTTCCAGATTACACTCGTTAGCAAACTAAAACTGCTGCTTTTTTCAGTGTAAATTAATTTGTTATCATGCTAACTAGATACAAATTAACCAAGCAATTCAGAACCATGAAATTCAGATTCTTCTAATAAATTATTGGACCTGTTGCAAAGGTTTAGTCTTGAGATTTTGTAACAAATTTGGTTTGTCCTGACCAAGAAAGTTATCTCAATTTCAAAGCTTAACAAAAAATGTCTCTTTAGCACAAACTTGGGACCAGATGGTTTTATGAAACCGTAATTAAAATATAAACGTAATTTCTCCTTTTTTAAGAATGTCGATAACTTTCCCCTTACTTTCTGCTAATTTTTTAGGCAGACAATTTTTCCATGACAGGCGGCGCATTTGTTAAGAAAATGATACTAGTGTAGACTAGGATTACAACAAGACAATTTAGAATATACTTGTTACAGTTCAAACAGGAAGATGGATAAAACTTTACAGTGTTAGTATCACCTGATTTTTTTTTTTTTTTCAGCTGTGATGTGATCTTTACAAAAAAACCGAATGGCCAGTGTCAACTTCTTTTTTTCCCTGCAAAGCCTTCAACATTGAAGTAACGTCTGAATAAAACATAGTTTCGCTTTTATCCTCGTTTGCTACGAGTCTACGGAATGACTGTCGCTCAAGAGGGTCTCAATGGGTTGATGGCGTTTACGGCTAACGGGTAACACTGCGCCATTGTTGTCCCTAGAGATTTTTTTTACGGTTAACTTTATTTACGACTAACCGTTAGAATTTTTGTAAATTTCTCCGCCTAACGGCTAAATTTTTTTGGCCGTTTAACGGCTAATAGTTAACCCCATTTACCCATTAAGACCTTCTAGAACTAATACACCAAATGAGAGTAATACGGGCCGATCAGAACTAAGGGTAACATTACAACGAAAACCACGCTCATCCTACGCCACGCCCAATCGAAAAGCGCTCTTTTAGAGTTTGCAGAAGATTCCCTTTCGTTGTTTTGAATTCCTGGCCGGTTGCAACTGTTATACGACAATTAATTGCGTAAGAAAGGTTGTGGTTATTCATCGTGGTGAATAACAAAAGCTAAGTTTTCACGTTTGTCTCACGATGTAGTCACGTGTGATGACATGACATCGTAAGACAAACGAAAAAACTAAGCTTTTATTTGTTTATTATACTAAAGTTGTTCTAGTTTTTGGGTACTTGCAGTTCTTAGTGCTTTTTCCTCCAATCTCTAAAATATTTTTAATGGCATTTGCCTTTTGCCAAAACGGTTTTAAGCCTACTACACAGAACTTGATAATCATATTTCTTATGTAACGAAATTGCAACCGCTATTTCAGCGAAATCACTTTGGCTAATGTGATGTAAATAAGCCATGCCACAGATGTGGGAAAAATTGTACTCGTTCTTACAGTTTGGGCTGCCTGTGGTTGTCTCGAGCCGAGAAGTCTTTGCACCGATTAATCGTTGACCAAATATCACACAATGTTTCTTTAAATACAATGGACTTCGCAAGAATCGTCAATAATCGATCATGATCGGTCTTAAATGACAGTCAGTACATTAAGCAAGTATGCAGAAGGTAGTGTTTATGACATGCAATAAATATCTCAGTCTTTAAGTTCTTCTCATTCTATTTAAAGTTGCTATAATATCTTGCCGGCTTATAATTGAAAGCAAATCGTAATTTCCTTATGAAAAAAAAAAATCTTTTAGTCTCCTGCATGGGATTTTGATTCTACTTAAGTTGCTGGCTGGGAAAATTAAGAATTTGTTCATGCTTAGCGTGCGTATATCGAGTTATGAATGCACGCGGAAAGTTTGGAGAGCACGAAAAATGCGTGGGAGTAGCTCGAGGCGTAGCCGAGATCAGCTCTAGCTTTCTGAGTGCTCTCCAAGCTTCCCAAGTGCATCCATTATACTCGATATACGCACAGCTAAAAGCATGAGCAAATTCGTTTATAACAGAGCGACAACAAGGATCTGCGCGAAGAAGCCTTTTATTGAGAATTCTCACTACGCCCAAAAAAAAGTAAACAAACGTCCCTATCGGCTGGTCAAAAACACGCCACATTTATTACTTTGGTTTCAGCGAGAACATGTGATCCAGTTGACCGATAACTGTGAATGAAAAGCTCAAAATTTATGGGAAAAATGGAGAAAATCAAAGCCAGATGAACTCGTGTCACTAAAAAATGTTTTAAAAGTCAGAGACCCGAAGTTATCAAGGGTTTTGAATATTCAAAATGATGTTCACGCTTCGGAAAAATTTGCGAAACGTGCAAATTGCGAGTTTTTTTCAGCTTTTTTTTTTTGTTGCCTGTTGGATCAGGACCTAAAAGGTCATTGCCGATAGAAAAATTGAGCAGTTCTTCACTAGTTTCTACCATATTTCAAAGAGAAGGGAAACTGCACTGCAGCTCAACAGGACGAAAACTCTGAAGCCAAGTAAACAAAATGCTCACGTCATCTTATTTACGCACGGGCGTGCGTAAATTAAGAATTTGTTCCTAGCGGCTCAATAGGACTTATATAGGGCAAGCACGCGCTCTATGTTATAATAATCCTTTTCATTCGAAAGTGTGAAAATTGAGCTTCTAAAATGTAAGTCACATTCAAGTTCTTTAACTGTACTAAGTCTATTTTTTCTGTTTCAAGAGCTGTAAGGTCTGAATTGCAAGATGTTTCGTGCCATCATCCTATTCAGTGATAAACGAATCCTTTGTGGTGTCAATGGTTTCTAACATAAACTTACACGCATAACTGCGCATAGGCCTCTTTGTCGATAAAGGAAACATGCAATGAGATCATTTATCTTTTAGCGTCTAAACGGCATTGAATACTTTTTTGCAAACAGCACAAACTTTCAAGGAATCATCACTCGACAGCTGAGCGTCTCGAGAGCATCGAATCAGTGTAACTGTGATTCCAGGATAAACTCGAACTAATGGCGTACAAGTACATGGATCATATTAGTCTACAATGGATATGTAAAACACACCTTAATTGTTTAAATTCAGCGACAATATTGGGTACAACTAAAAACAACAACAACTAAATACAACGACCATGAATAAAACATCAAAGTACACCCGCACTCAGAGCCAACCTGCTTCAGCTACAGCAGTTCCTACGTTCCATCGTCAGCGTTTATAACATCCATAACTGAAGTCAAATTCCAGTTCCAAGACCTCCCGTGCCATTATTTTATTGATAAAAGAATCCTTTGTGGTGTTAATGGTTTGTAGCATAAACTTACACGCATAACTGCTTCTGAACCTCGTTGTTGATGAAGGAAACAATGAAATCATTTATCTTTCAGCGTCTAAACGGCCTTGACTACTTTTCTGTGAACAGAACAAACTCTCAAGGAATCATCACTCGCGGCTGAGAGGGTCGATTCAGTCTAACTGTGATTCAAAGATAAAATCACACCCATCAAAGGTAAGCATATTTGCGTCGCACAGTGATTCAAAGAGACTATCATACGTGAGAGTGAAAACAGTGTATTTAAGCTAGAGTTTTTCCAGACCTAGGTTATTATAGCTAGCTAATTCAAACTACAGAACTGCTCCAGGTTAATCAATTTGCTCAAAACTACTCAACACTACACCTTAACCAAACCAATCTACACCCGTAATCACACACACTACACCGACTATACCGAACCAACGACCTACACGTACACTGATTATATTAGTCTACAATAAATAAGTCAACCACACCATAAGTGTTTAAATTTAGAAACAACATTGGTTACAACTACATACAACAAAACCTAGCTACAAAAACCATGAATAAAACAGCAAAGTACATATCCTTCAGCTACAACAATTCCAATTCCATCCCAATTTGGGCGTGCAAGCGAAACCTTGCACTTAAACAAATTCAAATCTTGTATTAATACTAAATATAAACGAATGCTTACATCAAACCAAGTAAACTAAATACTTAACAACGTTGTGATGTTGTCTGTAGCTCTGATGGGTCTCACAATTTGTCAGTTACCGAAACAATTTTATGCCAAATCCACGAGATAATCAAATATTATTATCAGCGCAAGTTACATGATCCCATTATCCTGAGAATTCAATTTCATCGAAGACTGATAGAATGCAATCGCACAGACTTGAATACATTTGCTCAAGTAAATGCTAACGTTTACCAGTTACGAAGGAATCATATATGAACCAAATCCTATTCAGTTAACAGTTAAGAAACTAATTAACATAGCGTAGACCTTCATAATAAGTTTACCCAATTTGTGTGGCTAATTACAGGAGAAAGGTATTCCTTTCCTGAGAGTTAAACCATTGTAATGTCTTGCTGGCTGGTAATTGATATCAATTCAAAATTTGCTAAAAAAAGATAAAAAAATGACTCTTTCATTTTCCTGCGTGGGATTTTGATTCTATTTAAAGTTGCTGGCTGGGAAAATAATCCTTTTCGTTCAGGTTGGCTGGCAGTAAAGAAAAGCCCAGCGTTCTTTTTGTTCCCACGAAGATTAATTGTTAACCAAATATCACACAATATTTCTTTAGATAAAAAATACTTTGCAAGAATCATTAATAATCGATTAGGATCGGTCCTAAATGATAGTCAGTACATTAAGCAAGTATGCAACAAAACAGTGTTTATAACATGCGATAAAATACCTCAGTACTTCAAGTAAATGTAAATGTAATGTAGTCGTGGAAATGAAACACAACTCTGCACAAAGAACTCATGAGTGACTGTAATAACACGACGAAAATTTCAGATATTGCGATACGATCGTCACTTTCCACTTATCTGTTATTGATATAACAAGGCGAAGGAACTGAACTGAAAAGTGAAATGAAAGCAAAGACTGTAGCTAAAAATTTGACATTAATTCTACACGCGTTAAATAGCTGCAACATTGTCTACAAAGAAGACAAAACAAAACAAAAAACAAAAAACCAAAAAAAAAATAGACCAGGATGGATAGAGAAGAGGCGGTAAAATAATTTATAACTTTTATCAGAAGCCCATTACCCGAAGCTCCCATCTTCCATACTTACCCTTTGAGTCAACCCTCTCCCGCTTCTTTTTATTTTTAGAAGCACCTCCCACGGGATTTTTCGCGGGTGTTTACATAATAGCCAATCATAAGAGAGCTGTAGTCCTCTATTGTTTATGTCACATGCAGGCTGCACGAAAGTATTTCAATAATAGCGAAAAGCGCGGAAAATTTACCATTCATGCCAGGGTGTTGCGCGAACGTCAGCGTGCTTTCGCGGGAAATTAAAGAACCCCCAAATATATCACTTCTAAAAATAAAAAGATACGGGACAGGGTTGACTCAAGAGTACAGTTGGTATGGAGGCTCCGGGTAATGGGCTCCTGCTTTTATGTAGGTAATTTAGTGTTAACAACTGGGATGAAAACGTAAATTAGCCACCGTAAAGCTTTTTTACCCTTTACGGTGGCTAATTTACGTTTTCAACCCAGTTGTTAACACTAAATTACCTGCTATGCTCTCCCACCGACGCAGCACCACAGTTTCTTTAGAAACTTACCCCTTTATTCACCTGCTTTTATGTAGTTTGTTGGGAGGTAAAAACGTATTTGTAACGACGATTCGTTCCAAACATGACAAGTAAGTATACTGAATGCTGCATATGGAGAATAGACAAACAAAGCAATGTCTATATTCAATAGCGGCTGAAGAAAATCTATGTAATTAGGCATAATCCTTACGTACCGTGAACGCTTGACACTACAGCCCGCAATTTTGGATACCTCTGAGCATGCTACTACGAGTTTCCGCTGGACTGCCTCTTAAAATATCGCGGGAGCAAAATGTCATTAGTTGTAGCTAAATTTCTGCGATATTTCTGGATGAAACCCTCTGAGACAAATGATAAACATCAAAGTTGTCGAAGGTAAAAGTATATACTCAGGAGCATTTTAAGTACTTCGGCATCTTTGTGTTTGGAAATGAATAAAATAATACATTATCGTAACCCACGCAGCAAAAATGTCGCGTAAAAGCTCTTTCAGTTGGTCATCACCAATTTCCTTTATGACCTCACTTTACATCTAGACTAATTGTTATTTTCTTTTACTGTGTGAAAATAGTCCATTTAACTTTGAAAAATACTTACTTTATTAACTTTATTAATTAATTTTGATTGAGAAATACTTACTCCTATCGCGAATTAGACAAGAAAAAAACAGATATTCGGTAATCAGACTTTGTGGAAAGTTATATTCCAATTAGACAAACGAAATAACGCAAGACAACCGTTCTCTTTATGTGATCTGATGATGATGGACAAGAATTGACGGCGCAGTAACTGTCTCCTTTATAAACTGACGAACAAAGTTTCCTAACATCTATTCCGGTTAGTATTCCATACCGCAGGGTAGTTTTTAAAAGTGTACACGGAATACAGACATAATTAACTTGAGTGTTAGACAAATCCTAAACTTACTTCTAGCATCTAATTACTTAATAAAACCGATGTTTGTACATTCAAACCAAGGTCATCGCTTAAAAATTGTCTCTTTTCTTTGCAGTGCAAAATCATCATCATGTCTGAACCTGAGTCAATTTTTCACGATGTGACCGTCATTGGGGCTGGTTGGTCTGGGTTAATGGCGTGTAAGTACATGCTAGAGTTTGGACTGACTGTTACCACCTTAGAGAAACGTTCAGAGGTTGGTGGGCTGTGGTGTTACTCAGAGGACCCTAACATTGTCACAGTCATGCGGACAACGAAAACGACTTCGTCGTCATCCGTGACAGAAATGTCGGATTTTCCAATGCCGGAGGAGATTGGATACTTTCCTAAGCACGCCGACATCTTCACCTACTTGAAATCCTATTGCGACGAGTTTAAGTTGTGGCCTCACATTCGACTGAACCACGGGGTGAAGTCAGTAGAGAAGAGAGAAAATATATGGCGAATTGAGTGCGAGAACGGAAGCCTGTTCACTAGCAAATTCTTGATAATTTGCACAGGCTGTGTACAGAAGCCTAATCGAGTTCTGGAGCAGACTCTCCTTAAAGATTTCGCTGGCAAAATTTACCACAGCTCTGAGCTCAAGTCATTTGTCCCTGAGCATAAAGGCAAACGAGTGATGCTGATTGGTGGAGGCGAGACTGCCAGTGACGTGGTTGAAGAATGGTGTGACAATGTTGATCGCCTTATATGGAGTATACCTCGAGGGATGCATTTCTTCCGTAAGTTTGCGAAGATTCTGCCGAACCGACAGCCTCAAGTCCTGGACAAGGCTTCATCTCGTGCAATGAAATTCGTCGCTCCTTTCACAAAGGGAAAACCAGGTAATCCCAGTAACTATTATATCATGTTACTGAATTTAAGTTTTCTTTCTTGAGTTTACAGATAATTGTTCCTCGGCACAAATCAGACTGGAGGAGACATGGGTGCCAAAAACTGATGATTAAGCAAAATTCGAATACTGATAAGACAGCGCTGATCAGCAGTGTTAATTAATGTGGCTCTAAACGTGTTCGTAATTTTTGAACCGGCCAATCCTTCGCTTGAGTTTTGATAACTTTTCTGACACAAGAACATTACATAATAATACCATAGCCTCTAAAAATAACAATTGCAAGTTAGCAATTAAAAAAAAAAAAGCAAACCATGGGAAATTTCAGGTATAGACACATTAAGCTAAAATTCAGGGTGTTTTTGAGAGAATCTAGGCAGTGCTTCCAGGGTAACTTTGTTTAACAGTAAAAAAATAATTACTTCTTGACAAATCATTGAGTATTTTTAAGGACCCCTTCCGAGAAAACAAACCAAAAAGAGAAGAAGCCATCATCCACTATAGACTAGGTATATTAAAATGGATATAGTCCGTTTTTAAACGGCTGTTGTTCTTTTAAACACAAAGAGGGTTTATACAAAATTCAAAGTAAAATAGATCCAGGGGATGATGTTCAACAGTTATGTAAACAACTGACCTGTCTATAACTTAATTACGACTGGTATTTGTCTCTACTCACGATGGAGTAAATTTCGGATCGATTTGGGAACGGACATAGTTGACTTCAAGATACAAAGTGTTGGTTGGTCGCACTGGATGCTAACTTATTCCCTAATTTAAATATTACCATTTGTCATATTTTTGCTCCACAATAATGTTGGTCCTCCTTTCCCTTGCAGGGCTAGCATGGGTATGTAAGTGGACGACGAACGGTTCACTACTCGCCTATCAAGGTCATGGTATATCCGAGTGGAAAAATGACGCCAAATTTTTTCATTCTTTTATCAACAAAAATGGTCACGTGCTTGATAGGGTTGATTATCACCACTGTGTTCCAAAAGGCGCAATTGAGAGCGTGAAAGGTACCAAAGTACATTTCTGTGATGGCACAGAAGAGGAGGTTGATATCATCATTCAGTGCACCGGTTTCAAGGCAGAATTTCCAATGCTCCCCGCGGAAATAAAAACGGTTCCTCTTACCCACAACTACAAGTATCTGTTTAACGTCGAGGACCCGACATTGGCTTTCATCGGATATGTTCGGCCGGTGATCGGATCATTAATCACGATGGCCGAGGTTCAATCTTTTTTTACCGCGAAAGTTTTCTCAGGACTGTGTGAGCTTCCTTCCCGAGATGAAAGGCAGAGAATAGCTGTGAAAGACAAGTTATTTTGGGACGACTACTTCAAAGATTCCTCCCGTAGACTTTCTACCTTAGTGGAAGCCTTCACTTACGGAGATGACATCGCTAGGTTATGCGGAATATTTCCTGATTATTGGAAGATGCTCAAAACAAATCCCCGTGGAGTTATGACGGCGATTTTTGCTCCCTACGATGGCAGTTGTCTTCGACTAAATCAGCCAGAATACCAAGAGACGGCGTTACGGCACTTGCGGCACCAGATGTCCGGGACATTCTCTCCAATACATTTACTTCTCATCCTCTTCTTGCGGCTAATCTGGTTCGACTTCTGGCTGGATGTCCTAGGCGAGATTAAGTACAAGATTCAGTGCGCAGGATGGTGGAAAAAAATACGAGATTGTCGACCCATACGTTTCTTAGATTGGTGCTGGCAGGCTCCTAAGAGATGGCTCTTTGATTGTAAAACAAGAGCCTAACAATTTACCAACTTTAACCGAAAACATTTATACTAGAGTGCTTACTTACGAACACTCCTCGGTTGTTGTATATTTCGAGTGCTTTTAAACTGCAGCGTAGGTAGGATTTGTTAAGAGGGTCGCGCAAGGGGTTTTCTGAGGCGTACTTGCCCAGGCTACCGTGAAACGACTGATAATTACAAGTTTAACATTGCATTTACAAATATCCTCGCTATTAAGCTATCATTCTATGTTATTATGCATTACAATACCGGGTGTTGGTTTATGATATCAATTTTTATCCATGTAAGCTGACTTAAAATCACTTCTGTCATCAGAGTAGTTCATCAATTATATTCTTGAAAGGGTTTTCTTTAGTGAAATGTTTCGTGGGCCAAAACCCACCATATGGTGCTGCTTAACTGTATCAGTCTGTCATAGGGGAAAGTCTTCAGTCCGCTTCTAAGAAGGCCTGATTGTCTTACAACAGTTCCATCGCCAAAAACTTTCATGTCGATTACTGAAATTGACAAACGTCATTATCTAGTGGGCACTACCTAAATGTTACTATGATTATTAAACTTTTTTGAAAATGTTTCTTTCTGTGTTTCAGTTCTCAGTTTGTTAAGGTAGGGTTTTAGACCTAGGTAATTATGGCTAGTTACTTCAAACTACACCAACCAAACCAATAAACACCCATAATTACACAAACTACACCGACTATATCCAACTAACGGCCTGCACGTACCCTGACCATATTATTCTACAATAGATAAGTCAGCTACATCTTAACTGTTTAAATTCAGCGACGACATTGGCTATAACTAGTTACAGCAACCACGAATAAAACATCAAGTACATCGGCATTCAGAGCCATCCTACGTTCCATCGCAATTTGGGCGTGCAAGCGAAAAATTGCGCTTTAACAAATTAGAATCTTGTTCTAATACTAAATATAAACGAATGCTTACATCAAACCAAGTAAACTAAATACTTTAGAACGTTGTGATATTCGCTATAGCTCTCATTGGTTTCACAAATTGTCAGTTACCAAAACAATTTTATGCCAAATTCACGAGATAATCAAATTTCATTATCAGTGCAAATTGCATGATCCCAAGATCCGGAGAATTCAACTATACTAGGTTTATTTTTTTTCCTTTTCCAAGAGCTATAAAGTCTGAATTGCAAGATGTTTCGTGCCATCATCCTATTGATAAATGAATCCTTTGTGGTGTCAATGGTTTGTAACATACACGCATAACTGCACATAAACCCCTTAGTCGATAAATAAAACAATGAGATAATTTATCTTTCAGGGTCTAGACGGCCTTGAATACTTTTCCGTAAACAGAACAAAGTTTCGAGGAATCATCACTCGCAGCCGAGCGCCTCGAGAGCATCGAATAGAATCTTGTCTTAATACTAAATTTAAACGAATGCTTAAATCAAACCAGGTAAACTAAATACTTTAAAATGTTGTGATGATTTCTGTAGCTCTCATTAGTCTCACAATTTGTCAGTTACCAAAACAATTTTATGCCAAATCCACGAGATAATCAAATTTTATTGTCAGTGCAATAACGTGTTCCCACAATTCTGAGAATTCAATTTCATCAAAGACTGATTGAATGCGATCACACAGACTTGAATACACTTGCTCAAATAAATGTTAACGTCTACGAGTTACGACAGAGTCATTTATGAACCAAATCCTTTTTTGTTAACAGCTAGGGAACTAATTGATATAGCGTAGACCTTCATAATACGTTTACCCAATTATTGTGGCTAATTACAAGAGAAAGGCAATACTTTTCTGAGACTTAAACCGTTATAATGTCTTGCTGGCTGGTAAGTCAAAGCAATTCGAAATTTGCTAGTTAAATAAAAATGACTCTTTAGTTGTTCTGCATGGGACTTTGATTCTATTTAAAGTTGCTGGCTGGGAGAATAATCCTTTTCATTCAGGTTGGCTGGCAGTCAAGATAAGCACAACAAATCTTTTTCCCACAAAAATTAATTGTTAACCAAATATCAAAAAATATTTCTCTAGATAAAATATACTTTGCAAGAATCGCTAATAATCGGTCATGATCGGTCTTAAATGATAGTCAGTACATTAAGCAAGTATGCGACAAAGCAGTGTTTATAACATGCGATAAAGTATCTCAGACTTTAAGTAAATGTAATTTCGAAAGTCAGTGTGTGTTCCCTTGTAATGTAGTCGTGGAAACGAAACACAATTCTGCACAGAGAACTCATGAGTGGGAGTTGTAACATGACGAAAAATTTAAGATATTGTGATTCGATAGTCACAATACACTTATCTGTTATTGATATAACAAGGTGAAGGAACTGAACTGAAAAGTGACACGAAAGCGAAGACTGTAGTAAAAAAATATAATATAACTTCTACGTGTGCTAAATGGCTGCAATGCTTTATTAAAAATAAATTCTAGTTTGTGTTTTAGCCTCCGCCTATCATAATTTTTTAAGGAGTACGAGAAAGTGGAAAAATTGAGCATCTATAATTAAAGTCACATTCCAGTTCTTTGACTATACTAGTTTTTTTTCCTTTTACAAGAGCTATAAAGTCTGAATTGCAAGATGTTTCGTGCCATCATTCTATTGATAAATGAATCCTTTGTGGTGTCAATGGTTTGTAACATACACGCATAACTGCACATAAACCCCTTTGTCGATAAAGGAAACAATGAGATCACTTATCTTTCAGGGTCTAGACGGCCTTGAATACTTTTCTGTAAACAGAACAAAGTTTCAAGGAATCATCACTCGCAGCTAAGCGCCTTGAGAGCGTCGAATTAGTGTAACTGTGATTCCAGGATAAACTCACACCCAAAAAAGGTAAGTATATTTGCACCGCTTAGCATTACAAAGAGACTATAATAAGTAAGAGTGAAAACCATGCATTTTAGCTAAAGTTTTTCAGACCTAGGTAATTATGGCTAACTACTTCAAACTGCAGAACTGCTTCAGGATAATCAACTTGCACTAAACTACTCAACATTACGCTAACCAAACAAATTCACGCTAGAAACTACACACACTACACCGACTATATCGAACTAACGGCCTACACGTACATTGTCCATCTTAGTCTACAAAGAATAATCAACCACACCCTAATCGCCAAAATACAGCGACGCCATTGACTAATTACAACAACCATGAATAAAACATCAAAGTACACCGGCACTCAGAGCCAACCTCCTTCAGCGACAGCAAGTCCTAAGTTCCATCGCAATTTGGGCGTGCAAGCGAAAAATTGCGCTTAAACAAATTAGAATCTTGTCTTAATACTAAATTTAAACGAATGCTTAAATCAAACCAGGTAAACTAAATACTTTAAAACGTTGTGATGATTTCTGTAGCTCTCATTAGTCTCACAATTTGTCAGTTACCAAAACAATTTTATGCCAAATCCACGAGATAATCAAATTTTATTGTCAGTGCAAATTACATGATCCCACAATTCTGAGAATTCAATTTCATCAATTACTGATTGTATACGATCATACAGACTTGAATACACTTGCTCAAATAAATGTTAACGTCTACGAGATATGACAGAGTCATTTATGAACCAAATTCTTTTCAGTTAACAGTTAAGGAACTAATTGATATAGCGTGGACCTTCATAATACGTTTACCCAATTATTGTGGCTAACTACAAGAGAAAGATGATACTTTTCTGAGACTTAAACCGTTTTAATGGTAATTCAAAGCAATTCGAAATTTTCTAATTAAATAACTCTTTAGTCGTTCTGCATGGGACTTTGATTCTATTTAAAGTTGCTGGCTGGAAAAATAATCGTTTTCATTCAGGTTGGCTGGCAGTCAAGATAAGCGCAGCGTTTCTCTTTTTCCCACGAAGATTAATTGTTAACCAAAATCACACAATGTTTCTTTAGATACAATAGACTTTGCAAGAGTCGTCAATAATCGATCATGATCGGTCTTTAGTCATAGTACATTATCCAAGTATGCATAAAAGCAGTGTTTATAACATGCGCTAAAAAAAAATCTCAGACTTAAAGTAAATGTGATTGCACTAAAATATTTCAGTCCTTCAAGTAATTGTGATTTCCAAAGTTAGTGTGTGTTCCACTGTAATGCAGTTGTGGAAACGAAACACAATTCTGCACAAAGAACTCATGAGTGGGAGCAATAACATGACGACAAGTGTCAGATATTGCGCTTCGATAGTCACAGCACACTTATCTGTTATTGATATAACAAGGCGAAGGAACTGAACTGAAAAGTGAAACGAAAGCGAGGACTCTAGCTAAAAAATTCAATATCAACTATATGTGCTAAATGGCTGCAGTACTCTCTACAAAGAAATTATAGTTTGTGTTTTAGCCTTCGCCCATCATAATTTTTAACGAGTACGAGAAAGTGGAAAAATCGAACATCTACAATTAAAGTCACATTCAAATTCTTTAACTGTACTAGGTCTATTTTTTTCTGTTGCAAGAGTTATAAAGTCTGAATTGCAAGATGTTTCGTGCCATCATCCTATTGATAAATGAATCCTTTGTGTTGTCAATGGTTTGTAACATACACGCATAACTGTGCACAAAGCCGTTTGTCCATAAAGGAAACAATGAGATCATTTATCTGTCAGCGTCTAGACGGCCTTGAATACTTTTCTGTAAAAGGAACATCATTCAAGGAGTCATCACTCGCAGCTGAGCACCTCGAGAGCGTCGAATCAGTGTAACTGTGATTCCCGGATAAACTCACACCCATCAAAGGTATAAGCATAGTTGCACCGCTCAGTATCACAAAGAGACTATCATAAGTGGGAGTGAGAACAATGCATTTGAGCTAAAGTTTTTGAGACCTAGGTACTTATAGCTAACCACCACAAACTACAGTTCTGTTTCAGGTTAATCAATTTGCACTAAACTACTTGACATTACACCAACCAAACCAATTCAAACCCGGAATTACACAAACTACACCGACTATATTGAACTAACGGCCTACACGTACATTGACCACATTAGTCTACAATAAATAACTCAACCACACCCTAAACGCCAAAAGATAGCGACGACATTGACTCCAACTAAATACAACAACCTTTAATAAAACATCAAAGTACACCGACACTTAGTGCCAACCTGCTGCAGTTACATCACAATTTGGGCGTGTAAGCGAAACAAATTAAAATCTTGTCTTGATACTAAATATAGACGAAGGCTTACATCAAACCAAGTAAACCAAATACTTTACAACGTTGTGATGTTCTCTATAGCTCTCACTGGTCTCACAATTTGTCAGTTGCCAAAACAATTTTATGCCAAATACACGAGATAATCAAATTTTATTATCAGTGCAAATTGCATGATCCTAAGCTCCCTAGAATTCAATTCCATCGAAGACTGATTGAATGCGATCGCACAGACTTGAATACATCTGCTCAAGTAGATTTGAACGTGTACGAGTTACGACAGAGTCATTTATGAACCAAATCCTATTCAGTTAATAGTTGAGGAACTAATTAACATAGCGTAGACCTTCATAATAAGTTTATTCAATTATTGTGGCTAATTTCAAGGGAAAGGTTATACTTTTCTGGGACTTTAACCGGTATAATGTCTTGCTGGCTAGTAATTAAAAGCAATCCAAAATTTTCTGATTAAAAAAAATGACTCATTAATTGTCCTGCGTGGGATTTTGATTCTATTTAAAGTTGCTGGCTGGGAAAATAATCCTTCTCATTGAGGTTGGCTGGCAGTGAAGATAAGCGCAGCGTTTTTTTTCCCTCGAAGATTACTTGTTAACCAATTATCACACAATGTTTCCTTAGATACAATAGACTTTGCAAGAGTCGTCAATAATCGATCATGATCGGTCTTAAATAATAGTCAGTACATTAAGCAAGTATGCAAAAAAAGTAGTGTTTATAACTTCCGATAAATTATTTCAGTCCTTCAAGTAAATGTGATTTCGAAAGTCAGTGTGTGTTCTTTTGTAATGTAGGCGTGGAAACGAAACACAATTCAGTCACAGTACACCTATCTATTATTGATATAACGAGGCGAAGGAACTGAACTGAAAAGTGAAACAAAAGCGAAGACTATTGCTAAAAATTCCTCATTAACTCTATGCGTGCTAAATGGCTGCAACACTGTTTACAAAGAAATTCTAGTTTGTGTTTTAACCTCCGACTATTATGATTTTTAAGGAGTACGAGAAAGTGGAAAAAAGACCATATTAGTCTATAATGAATAAGTCAACCACACCCACGTCAGTACATTAAGCAAGTATGCAAAATAGAAGTGTTTATAACATGCGATAAAATATCTTATTCTTTCAAGTAAATGTGGTTTCGAAAGTCAGAGTGTGTTCCATTCTAATGTAGTCGTGGAAACGAAACACAATCCTGAACAAAGAACTCATGATTGGGAGTAATAACAAAAACTTTCAGATATTGCCCTTCGATAGTCACAGTACACTTATCTGTTATTAATATAACAAGGCGAAGGAACTGAACTGAAAAGTGAAACGAAAGCGAAGACTCTAGCTTAAAAGTCCAGTATTACTCCTATGTGTGCTAAATGGCTACAATACTTTCTACAAAGAAATTCTAGTTTGTGTTGTAGCCTCCGCCTTTCATCAATTTTAAGGAGTACGAGAAAGTGGAAAAATTGAGCATCTATAATTCAAGTCACATTCCAGTTCTTTAACTATACTAGGTCAATTTTTTTCCAGTTGCAAGAAATATAAAGTCTGAATTGCAAGATTTTTCGTGCCATCATCCTACTGATAAACGAATCCTTTGTGGTGTCAGGGGTTTGTAACGTAAACTTACACGCATAACTGGGCATAAACCCCTTTGTCCATAAAGGAAACAATGAGATAATTTATCCTTCAGCGTCTAGACTGCCTTGAATACTTTTCTGTAAAGAGAACAAACTTTCGAGGAATCATCACTCGCAGCTGAGCACCTCGAGAGTGTACATTTGAGCTACAGTTTTTGAGACCTAAGTAATTATAGCTAACAACTTCAAACTATAGAACTGCACTAAACTACTCAACCTTACACCAACCAAACCAATTCCCACCCGGACAAACACAAACTACACCGACTACATCAAACTAACGGCCTACACGTAGATTGACCATATTAGTCTACAACAAATAAACAACCACACCCTAAACGCCAAAATACAGCGACGACATTGCGGAGACAGATTCATATGCATTCTGACATGAGAAGTTGCAAAATTAGAATTACAAATTTGAGAATTTAAGGGTAGACAACTAATTACTGTGGCAAAGCTCTGCGTGGAAACGGATCATTCCAATTAGTGCGTCGTGAAATTTTCTTGTCTCTGGCAGAAGAAAGATATCGTCATCGCGTAAAGATGGTGGGAACGTTTGAGGATTCAACGATTCTCGACCACGATCAGAATCAGGCGCAGACTTTGAGGAACGTACTAGGCTTTCCTGACGGAGGGGAGCGTTTGTTGTACCGAGGTAGTAGGGATGGGTGGCTTTCTTCCAACTTTCACAAACATTGTGATAACAAAGGGCCAACAGTTACATTGATCAAGGTAGTGACCACTGGTGCAAAGTACATATTTGGAGGATATACTGACCAAAGTTGGGATTGTAAGTTCTAAACATTGACCTAGCTCTCTTCTTCTTTCAAATTCTTGTCGGAAAATTACGACAAGAATACTCAAATAATTTTTGCTAATAGAGAATTTGAAAAGGCATAGATGCCCCACAACATTTGAGTGTACAGGAGAGGTTTGTTGATTTGTTATAAATTCCCACCTTGAGGATTTAAAGCAGATCAAAATTTTGACGATAAATAAAATAAAAAATTAGATTCTATTTTATTTTGTGTCTGTCCGGTCACAGAGGACATCAAAATGAATTAAGAACAGGAAAATGGCAAATGAGCTATTATGTTTCTAAATCAAGCACTGAATTTGACGTAATATTATGCAAATTGTCGCAACGCGTCACCGTAAGTAAAACATCATATTTTCCAGGGGACTCTCCTTTCTCCAGCCTTAGAAATTCAGAGACCCTCTTGGACATTAATCAAAAAAGAATATAAATTCCGAGGTAGGGGTCTCTGTTCCTGAAAGTGTTGTTGTCCTAAATCTCTGCAAAAATTAGGATCTTTCGCTCCAGGAAACGGAAAGGAAGGGACCTTGGGAACGTGATAAACGAAATCGAGTTCAAAATAAGTGCTAGTAAGGGACAGTCAAAATTACAATGCAAAGTTATTTCGGAAAATTGTTTCAAATTTGAGTCTCTCGTTGGGCCAAAAAAATGAAACAATTTTGTGGTGACGTCCTCTCACATGTCTGTACTCTTTGAGTTTAAAGACAGTCAGCATTTGCACAACTCGTACATTTAGCTCATTGCAGAGGACCAATCCTCACCCAAAAGGCCGAGGCTCAATTCAAAGAAAGTGGTGATCTAAAACTGTCAGATTCTGTAGGCATTTACTTAAACTGGTTGGCTTGTATTTTTTGTTTAGGTAGGGGATCATACAAAACATCCAAAGCCTCGTTCCTGTTCAGTCTTGTCAACGCGATGGATCTGCCACCACAAAAACTGCCTTTGATACATGGACAAGAAGATCATGCTATCTATTGTGCCAGGGACCATGGACCAACATTTGGCTATGGAATAATAGAGAAAGATGAAATTGTTCATGATCTTAAAATTTTCAATAGAGGAAACGAGTTTCACTGTTCTACTTATTTGGGTCAATGTTACCATGGTCCGCAACCGCCAAATCCTATGGGTTTTTTGGCAGGAGGTCAGAATTCCAGGGTGAGCGAAATAGAGGTTTATGAGATGAAGAAGTAAAACAAGATTTTTTCTTCGACTGAGCTGAGAGTGGTTTGTAACCTACTGCCTCTCGTTCATTTTCTTTTACAAGTTATGGTTGCACGAATTGACTTGAGTAATAGACAAATCAAAACAGTAGAAAAAATAGTAATGGAAAAGATTGTAATGTGTGTTCGTTTAGTTTGATGAATTGCTGATTTTTCAAAGAACTTTTTTAAGATCCTGGTTATTGAGACCTTTCCACCGTTCATAGATGATGTTGCGCAAACGTACACGTTGGCACTTTTGGTCAAAAATAAAAGTTTGTAGAACTTAAGTTTCAAACCATCCAGATTAAAAAAAAAAAAAAAAAAAAATAAAAAAAAAAAAAAAAAAAAGGGTCTTTCTCATACTTTTCTTTTGGTTGTCACCCGGTCCTCCTTCCCTTTTTCAAAAGCCCCGGTACTCTTTTTTCACCGTAATGTTGGAATATTGAAGTGGTATATGACAGCGGAGAGAAATTAGAGGGGTGAGAGGAGGCAATTTTGTTTTTTCATTCTCTTAAATGAAAACAGTCGGAATGATGCTCTCAAAACATGCAAAGCAATATCGTGGGACATTGTTGGCGGAAAGCTTCGTTGCACAACCTCAAGCATTTTGTGCCGTCACTTTGTCATTGTTAATGAAAATTTAAAGAGATGTCATATGATGATATTACAAAGGTCTTCGGGCCCTAGCTCTGAAGCACGTCTCCGTTTAACCGAATTGGTACTACTTACACCCAATTGCTTTTCATTCGGCGGCAGTTACTTCAAACAAACTAATGGCGTAGCCATGGGTACCAAAATAGGACCCGGCTACGCCAATCTTTTCGTAGATTTTATCGAACACCAATTTTGTAGTCAATACCACGTTCCCAAACCCGTTCCCGCTACATTGACGACTGCATCGGCGCTACCTCCTCTACCAGAGAGGAGCTCACTCGATTTATAAGCACCATCAACTTCCATTCGGCTCTTTAAGTGCCGCTCCCGTTAAGAGCGGTCCTCTCGACTTCCCGTCGGAAAAAAGTTTTCTTTTATTTTTTGCCCATAAAAAGGGTTTAGGACACATATTTCAAAAATAGTTTAGTTGTAATCCAATTCTCTTTTTTTGCGTCGCCACGAGCCAAAAATGATTTTTGGCCAGACCACCCCTGTGAACAGCGATCGAAAGTGTAAATTTCAAAGATTTTGTCCAGCGCGCAGCGACTGCAACAATGTAGCTCACGGAATTCTATCTTTCTACAAGTTACAAGGTGTCTTCAGTTAGTTCACAGACAAAATATGGAAGCTTCAGCTGAAATGTTTTCCATACCAGCGTGATCAGAGGAGACCCTTCTCTGCGACCTTAATTTGCATATCAAAAATTCACTACTTTGTACGAAAGAATTCTCAAAATTCAGGCGTTAATCGGGCTGAAAAAGCATATCAGTGCATAGTTTATACACCAATGAGGTCACAGATTGCCTCAAACCCGGGGGAATATCTCTAGCTTCCATCCACCAACTTCTTAAAAACGCAAATCCATGTGTTTGCTGAATTGCGCTCGTGTCAAAGATCATTTGCATGATTCTTAGAATTGACCAAGATCTCCTTTTGACCGTTCAAACTTCGTTCGTTTATTTTCTTCGTTGAGGATTTTAGGTTTTCACAGCAACTGAATGGAGATTAGATGCCGAGTTGTCCTAAAACGGTCGGTCGTAACGCTTGCGCGCTTGCGTGACTTACAAAGTAGACAAAGGTGATCGGAAGGCGCCTTCTCGATAATTTACGTTGAAATATCAGGTCATGAACTATGCACAATGTGGAGAAGATCAAACTTAAAGAATAAAATTTGGCACTCCGGTCATAACAGACATACCGCGTAGCTTAAAAGGACACAAAAACAAGTTAAAATAGGTTGCAGTGTTTATATTTACGAAACAACACGCATACTCTCCGATACAATTCTTGCAGTTTCTCCCGAGATTTAGTATGTGGAACCCGATGAACTAACCCTCCTTTCACTAATGATGTTACGCTCTTATGGACCACAACAGTTTTGAGTGACAAACTCGACATTTCCCTGCGACCATCAAAATCAACAGGACAAACCCAGCTTGATGTGTTGCGTGACGTGATTGATGGTGACTCATAGATCAAATCTCGGTGTTGGGTGGAGTCGTGGTTCCAATAGTAGATGTAGGGTGCCAAAAGAAGTGTTCGGCCATGGTAAAGGTAGAGTTAAGTCGATTCCAAAAGCCGATAGGGGAATTGGCAAGCGTGTATCACAGATAGTACTCAAGATGTCTGGAAAATTCGTACGATCTGGCTTCGGTAAGTAGGCTACTTACCACCATGAGCAAAATTACGTGTGACGTCAGACTTAAGTCTCGATTGGGAATTGGTCAATAGGCTACCAAAATTCAGGCAGAGGCTGAGTTTTCTGAACTAATGTCTGAACACTTTGTTGGCTTTCCGCCGTCTGGGGGGGACGCGTAATTATGCACGCGGTGGTAAAGGGCCCTTCCGCAAAAGCAACTAGACGCTGACAAGACTTGTTTCTCTTGCTGGAATTGCCCAGAGTACATCTGATATTTTAGATCACACAACTACCAGGGCGCATTTTAGTTAATCCAAGAAGAGAAAAAAGAATTACGGCCAATTTCAAAGGATCCCCTTCTAACAAGCTGGCAGCTGACAATTTGCCGCGTATTCACTCAGATTTTCTACTTATAAAGGTTGATCTCTAAAAGCTCTTCTCAAACCTTACTTTTGTATGGCATCCCAAAAGACGGAGGAGTCAGAATTCTGGGAAAGTCTAGAGAATACGTTTGGTCGCAAAATTCCGATCGATCCACAGGTGAGATATGTCATAAATATGGCTATCAAAGAATCGAGAAATCAGGACCCCGAAGAAAGAGCAGAAGTGGTCGATGACGCGATGTATTTAGCTCACGACTTCGTCAACGTCGCGTTCAAAGATGAAAGTGACGCAGAAGTTGCTTATGTAGCGGTGAAGACAGCTAAAGATTTCATAAATGAAGAACTCGAGTCAAAAGGGGTAAAGGTGCCAATTGATGAAGAAACTGAAAACGAAATGGAAACAAAACAAACCACTGAGGGCAACATATCACCTGGGGATTTTCTAGAACAATTCCCGGGGGTCAAAAAGCTGGAGAGAAAAGGTGGACCAAAAGAAAAACCGAAAGAAGAAAAAGTTGATTATGTCGTCAACGATGGTGTAATAAACATATATGATAGAAAAGTTTGTTGAGGTAAACAAGGTAAAAATTTTCGAAGATAACGATTATCAAAAGCTCAGGGATAAGGGGAAGTACAATTTACATTCGGTGAGTGGTTTACCTACTTTCCGTGGCTCAAAGCATCGCTCTTGGAATAGAATTACTCATAGTCTGGAAAATGACATCGAGCGACTTAAGCTCCCAAGTAGCGAGACGCACTCTCGTGAATGCAATGAGGCTTTCAGCAAGGCTAGAGATAAATTGTTGAGTGAGGCTATAGACAGTTTAAAAGTTTACGACCTATATGGAGTAATTCGAGAATTTGGAGTAGCGTGTATGAGGATTTCTGGATGTATCTACAGCTGTTTTTAACTGTCTCTCCTTGGCAACAGTGAAATATAATTTTACAGATGTTGTACTCATTATACTGTCTCAGTTCGTCACTTTCGTTAGATGGTACAAAATGAAGAAAATTACACTCTTAGATATTTAATTCGGCCTCCCCTTAACTCCCCTACCCTCTCAATGATGTTCTGCAAGATGGCATAATAACATTGTCGACTAACAACATTAGGGGAGGGGAAGAGTGCTGAAAGAACACCATAGATGTTGTTCTGGAGAGGTGTCCCAACTAATTACGTAGTCGAGGAAGCAGTTTCACTGATCTGTGTTCAGAGAACTGATTGGACAAAAATCAATATTTCGCGCATATCCTGAAATGATTGGCCCTTATAGAGCTTCTAGAGAGAGGTGCAAGATTGGCTTGTCATCGTTCGGGTTTGAACGCTTTAATAGTTAAAACAAATAAAGTTAGCGGTTACTAAAACTAAGCTAAAAGTCGCTCACTTTCAAACCCTAATCATCCTTTGTCTAATTCTTATCACGTGTCACGATAAAGTTTACCTGATCCCTCCCTAAAGCTCTGTAGTTGTATAATGATCCTCCCTACTGTTAGTCAATTATCTCTTGTCCCCCCCCCCCTTAGTTCACCGTTAGCGACAGCGAAACCCCCATCGAATCCATTCCCCCTGAAAACCACGTGATTCCTTTAAATTTCTCTTACCCCTCTTTCGCTTCCCGTGAGAAATAACGACTATTCCTTTACTGATGGCAGCGTGTACCATTCGACCTATGAAAGTCTTATCTCCAGAGGCCAGTTCTGATTGCCCTGGGCTCCAAGAATTTTCAGGCGAAAACACGTAAGAAACACCGCGATAGTAAGAATATTCAATATAAGGGAAGGTTACCTATCACGTGGTACGGACTAGCACCTTGCTGGATTTCTCTTTCAATAATCCTAATAAGTGTTACTCAAGGAATAACCAAAATGGCAAACTCAGGTTGTTTTCATGCCAATGAAAATTTCAATCATGTTTATTAGATTTGGATAACTAGGATTTTTATATTTGAAGCTAGTTGCACTTCCACTTCAAAAATCTTATTCCGCCGGAAATAATGACTCTAAGTTCATCGCAGATGAGACTAACCTATTACACCCTAATATCACTATACATATTCTCCATACTGTCATTTACACATTTCCTAAAGCACTGAAAAGGAGAAATTGTTGAACAATCAAGAGCTTCTCTGGTTACTGATGATTTTCTTTATTCTCGTGACCCTGATGTGTGATTCAGGGTTAACACTGAAAGGAGAAATTAGATCTATGTCACTCATAGGGGTCGTTGTTTGAAGAGTTATTATTTGATTCTATTTTCTGACGATTACACTTGTTCGTCACCCCTTTCAATGGTACGAGATACTGAAGAACAGT